CCGCCCCCCTCCATGCCCATCCCGGACTACCCCACCCACTCTGAGCAGCAGCAGTGACTGGGCAGAAGCTGCTGCTCAGTGAAGGGGAAAAGCAGCCCCTCCCCTTCACTGCTGCCAGACCCTTCTTCCTGAAGCTGGCTGGAGCCCATGTCTGGGCTGCCCTGCAGCTCCTCTGCATTGCCACTGCTGCCCCGCTGGGAAGCTCGGAGGCAGTGGTGATGGCAGTGGAGAGGAGCTGCAAGGCAGCCCAGGCATAGGCTCTGGGCAGCTGCAGAAAGAAGGGCCCAGCAGCAGCAAAAGGGAAGGACCACTTTTCCCCTGCACTGAGCAGCAGCTTCTGTCCAGCTGCTGCTGATGTTCAGCATGTGCAGGCGGTCCAGAGCAGTCATGGGGCAGGCCAGGGTTGGGGCTATGCATGCAGTTTGTGGCTGGTCTGCTCTAGCCGGGGAGAGTCAGGAGGGGGCGGGTGCTGTCTGGCCCACAGCAGCTCCCCAGAACTGCCAATGTGGCTTGTGGGCCCGAATAATTTCCCACCCCTAGTCTAACCCACGGCAATTTCTAGGAATCGCCATGACTTAGACCCAAGAGCTGCACTTCTATCTGCACTCTTTACCTGCAGCATGTTCGGGTGATCTTGGTGTTTTTGACAAAGTTCATTCTGTATGGGTGCTGTCTGGCCCACAGCAGCTCCCCAGAACTGCCAATGTGGCTTGTGGGCCCGAATAATTTCCCACCCCTAGTCTAACCCACGGCAATTTCTAGGAATCGCCATGACTTAGACCCAAGAGCTGCACTTCTATCTGCACTCTTTACCTGCAGCATGTTCGGGTGATCTTGGTGTTTTTGACAAAGTTCATTCTGTATTTTTAAGAATAGGTTAGATAAGCACTTGTTTGGGATGGCTTAGATAGTGATGATTTGTACTTGGGCAGAGGTCTGGACTAGATGACCTCCTGAGGTCCCTTCCAGCCCTATTTCTCTATTATTCTAAGATTCAATCTGAGGTAGAAAACCAACAAAGATAACTCCAATCCAAAGCTGAAGTCAAAATTTGGCAAAATCATAAGCTAAAAAATAAAACTGAATGCCATTTTATCATCATTTTTCATCAACAGGACTTGAAAAAACATGTCCTGATTTTGATGGATTTAATTAGGTCAGATCAGTGTTTGCAAAATCCTAATTAGTGGCAAAACAGGGAGACTGACGATAGTAATGTGGGCTTGAATGACAGTATAAATTATCTCCTTACATATATGCTACAAACAGATAGAAAGGCTGCACTTACCATCACAGCAGGATTTTTCACAGTGATACATGGGGTAGTAGCTCGGAGGGCTCCACTAATGCCATGGTAGTATTTAAAACAAATCTTTATTTCAGCTGGAAAACAAAACAAAACAATAATCACATGATATCTGTCAATGGTTAACAATGGATAGAACGTTGGCAAGCACAGTGGAAAAACAGATCATAGTTTACTCTTCTTGAAGTCAGTGAGAGGCTATTTCAGCAACAAAGGCAGAAAACAACTTCCGCTGAACTATATTTACTTTCAACTTCAGGGATCCTGAAAGAAGAATCTTTATATAAATTTTCTTTAAAATAGATATGGACCCAGAAATCCTTGCTCAGTTCCCATTCAAAACCCATAAAAAATCAGCTGACCCGCTCCTTCAAGTTCATAATCACATGAGTAATTAATAATTTCTACTTGGTAGAAAAGAATATAAATTTTAGCAAGTAGTTTTGTCCACATTAAAGCACTAGCTAACACAGATATTAACCAATTTCTGTATATTTCTGGATCTAAATAAGACAGAAAAATATAATAATGTTTTTACTATTAGGTTTGATTTGTGAATACAGCTCTATTATAACCCAACAAAAGGTTAATATACATTTTAAAATTTAACATCATAATTCACCAGATTGAGAAACAGATGTTTTGCTAATCAAAGTATTAGAGAATTACATATAAATTCTTCTTGCTGAAACTTTTTTGTCATGTGAACATTTAAACCTCAGAAATGATATAGCAGCTTCTCAATACTTGGTCAGGCTAAACTGAAGATATTTTGGGTCTCCCTATGTCATGCAATAGTTAAAAGGGAGTGACGACTTGGTTTTCATGTGCAAAATGGTATTGCAAATATGCTTAGATGAGCACATTAATGAACTGTTTAGATCACTGCAAAAATGTGCCAACATGTATTATGTCAAGATGAAATTTAACCTAGAGGTAAAAAGCAGGGTACTACTTAAAATGCACATAAAAATATTTTAAATGTGGATAACAACCTAGTGACAAAAATGGTTACTCAGCCCCTAGTGAGTGTGGCTCTTTTGGAGGTTGCAGTGACCGTGGATCTCACTGGAGCGGGGCAGGTTTATTAGTCATGAGGCAGTAATCCTTAGTAGCATTGTTAGTCAGGCCTGTGCATGGGCACTGTGCTTCCACATGCCGGCCATGAAAATGCACAGCTGCAACCCTCCCTCAATTCAGTGGCAATCTGAAGCGTGCGTCTGCAGTGGGCTCCAAAAACAGAAGTGGAAGAGTTGCTGAGGGACCTACGCTACATTATAGTATGATCAAGAACTTATGACAGAATTGATTCCTGAAAACTGTCTTAAGTTGAAACATTATAACTTGAAACTGATTTTCCTGTAGAAAACAATGTTATAAATGAGGGATTGGTTCCTGAACCAAGGCCTGATACTCTATTTTCACCAAAAATAACCCAGAATGTTGTACTCAATTATAGATGAGTGTCACAAAGCACTGAGGTGCCCTGCTCCCAAAGAGGGAAAACTGCTAGGGAGGAAGCCCTAGCAGGGCATAAGGAGCCCAGCTGTGGGTTGCCAGGGCAACCAGAGAAGGTCAGCTGACCAGAAGGGGCAGGGCCTGGCTCCCTTATAAACCTTAGGGGCTGGGGCCAGAAGCAGTCCCCTGCCAGCGGCCCAAGGGGAAGGAACTCTCTCAGGGAAGAAAGGGGAGGCCTGACTACAGGAGCAGTGTTTGACACTGCTGAGGGAAGGAGTGTTCCCCAGTAGGCTTGACTGATGTTTTAGCTGAGCGCCTTTAATTTATGTTACAGCCCAGGGGCTTGTGTTTTGTTGTTATTTAAAGATCGGTGGTTTGGGTGAGGCTATTGGGGGTTGGAGGAGGCCTCAGAGGGGACTCACACTAGTGTGGGGACCCGAGCACCAGTGAGGGTGCAGCATTCGGGGTACCTAGACCCCAGCCCCAGAGAGGGGCAGTTGAGAAGCCCCAGAAAAGGGGGCACTGATGAGAAGCCCCAGGGCGGGCATGGTGAGCCCTGGAAAAGGGGGTAGCATTGCGGTGTGCCCCAGAGAAGGGGGGTAGCATTGCGGCGAGCCCTGAAGGAGGGCAGTGCTACTGAGAAGGCCCCCAGAGGAAGGCAGCGCTACTGAGAAGGCCCCCAGAGGGGGCAGCTTTACTGAGGAGCGCCCTGAGAGAGGGCGGCAGTATTGAGGAGTGCCCGGAGAGGGGGTGGAAGCCCCAGAGAAGGGGGCAGTTACTGAGAAGCCCCAGTGCAGGCACGGTGTGCCCTGGAGAGTGGGCAGCACTACTGAAGAGCCCTGGAGAGGGGGGACCCTGCTGAGAAGCCCTGTGCGGGCGTGGTGAGCCCCAGGGAGGGGGCAGTTGCCGAGAAGCCCCAGGGAGGGGGCAGTTGCCGAGAAGCCCCAGAGAGGGGGCATTGCTGAGAAACCCCAGAGAAGGGGGCATTATTGGGGAGCCCCAGAGAGGGGGCAGTGCGACTGAGGAGGCCCAGAGAGGACAAAAAGGGGCCAGATCGTAACTAGGATGGAATAGATGTTATGTCCCATCGGCGAGGTGTGGACTGCGGTGTAGGGGAGGAAACGGAGCCGCAGATAGCACCCCCTGGCAGTGGGGCAGTACAAGGCCAGCCTCCCGCTAATTAACACCAATTAATCATTTAACAACAAGGCATGGCAGGCGAGAAGGCGGGCGGTTGCCCCAGGAACAGATGTGCGGGCCACGTTTAGGTCGGCCCAGAGCGGATACCTGTTACAATGAGTAATATAGCTACATTAATGTATTTATATTGTAAGTAGCAATCATATTGGTTTGGAAGAACTTCTTTGAGGTGACATTGCTGGACGTTTTGAAGGGCTCTTGGTTGGACTTTTAGAAGGGTTCTTGTCTGGAGTCTTCTCAGGTTTTTCTGGAGTCTTGTCTGCTTTCTTAAAGCACTTACTGTAGAGTAACTATTCTCTCTTAGATACAGGGAGTTACAGTCCAGAAAAGGTCTGATACCTGGTATGTAACAGGCCAGTACATTTTACCCAGTTATTCCTATAATGAGCCAAATAAACTTTTGCCTGACTAAAATGTATCTTCCAGAAAGGCATCCAGTCTTGATCTAAAGTCCTCAAGAGACGAAGAATCTACCACTTCCCTTGGTGGTTCAAACAGTTTATTATTCTCACTGTTAAAGATCTTTGCCTTGCTTCTAATTTGAACATGTATGGCTTCAGCTTCCAGCCATTGGTTCTTGATATGTGTTTCTTTGTAGGCTAAATAGTCTTTAATTACCTTGTAGTTTTTCCCATGACAGTGTTAATACATCGTAATGAAGTCACCTCTCAATCCCCTTTTAGATAAACTATTTAGACAGAGCTTACTCTAATAGATTTTCCTTAGCCTCTGTATCATTTTTGTGGCTTTTCTTCAGCATCCTTTCAAACTTTTCAATATCCTTTTAAAAATGTGGATATTACAACTCATCCACCAACTTATCAAGAGGCCTTGGAAGCCATTAAGCAGATAGAGAGAAACAAAGTATGTGGTCCTGACAAATACCAGCTGACATGTATAAGAATCATTAAAGAAGAAAAATCGTTTGGATTGCAGCAGTTATCATGGCATTGCACTTCCGTCCATAGCTGGGTAGATCCTCACATGCTTTCTGCTCAATAGATTCACTTTTCTCACTAAGGACATTCTGCCTGAGTTCCAATGTGGTTTCAGATCACTCACAGGTACAATAGATATGATCTTTGTTGCTGCTAGACAGTTGCAGGAGAGGCATCACAAGCAACATGTGAGCAACATCTTCACTGACCTGATTAAAAGCCTTTAATTCGATCAACAGAGAGCCCCTATGGAAGATCCTGCTGAGATCTGGATGTTTGCCAAAATTTGTTACTATTATCAGACTTCTTCATACTTGTACGATTTAGAAAAGACTAACCTCCATTCGATGAGGAGAGGAGCCGGCGGGACCCCGTGCCAGAAGGGGAGCACGGCTAAAGTGAAAACATGGCGTTTCCATCCACTGCAGCGAAGAAAGAAGAAAAAAAAAACCTGCCGAGTCGGAAGGAGCCAGGATTGGCTCCTACGTTGGTATGGGCATGTTTCATAAGTGTGCTGGGGCCGATTTGCCGCCCAGAACCTCAAAGCCGGGATAAAAGGCCCGGCAGGAAATCAACAGGGAGGACCAGAAACAAGGTCCTCAACCAGCCCAGAGGGGCCAGATGCTGAAGGCAGTCCCAGTTCAAGGACGTGGTGGATACCCCAGGAGGGGGTTCTTTGAAGAGCCAGAGCCAGAGATGGCTCCATAGCTTAGCAGAGGATACTCCGTGGACATCAGAGATCCACATTACAGACTGGATCTCAGCAGAACCAGATAGAGAATGGACCAGTGGAAAACCAACCCACGGCAGGTACAAAACCCAAGTTGAGAGTGGGACACCAGGGAACACAACAGGCTGGGATCGACAAGACGCATGAATAAAGCAAGGTGAAGCAGAGAATAACTGGGTCAAATAAATGTCCTAATCACACCGTAATAAATCCAAAGGGCCAAGACACCAAAGGGTGCATAATACTAACCCTGGTGGCCCAGGCAACACCATCTTTGGTTGGCATTAGGCGGGGTATAGGGGACATGGAGCCCTGGGCAGGAAGGACAACCAGAACAACTGAAGGAAGGTACCAGGAGGGATGGGACAGACCATCTTCCTCCCTATCAAAATTAATTTTCCAGCAAAGAGGTGGCAGACGAGACCCCCTTGGGTACCAACCAAGGTACATTCCATTAACAAGCCTGTTCCTTCCTTAAAGTGACGGTGAAGCCAGAAAAATCTACATGGACTTGACGCATGGGTAAAAGGCATGGGAAGTTGCATATAAGAACAACCATGCTACGCAATGGCTCAGAAATGGACCCTTTCACCATTAGAACTGAAGTCAAGCAAGGATATGTGAGATTGCACCAATACTTTTTTCCATGCCTACTGTAGCTATTCTGCATTTCATTGATGATAGACTTCTATCTGAAGTCATCATCAAATAGTTCCATGGATAGGAGTCTCTGACATCTACCAGTTACATT